GGCTGACCAGCATCGCGAGCTGACGCCGCGGAAACCCGAAACTTCGGGCCGCCCCCACCAAACCGCCAAGCCTGGCATCCTCGAAAGAAGAACTCTTGCGGCTGAGCAAACCGTTCCCGAGGAAAGTTATTTCTACTGACTGCCCATTCTGGAGTGGGCCGCCCGCGAGCACACGAAGCGCCCAGGCCCTTTGTCTTGCTTACCGACGTCGACCACGAGAGCTCCCGAGAGTCGGTTCCGTGCCAACGTCTGGACAGTGGCCCGCGGAGCCCGCTGCAAGCGCAGTGGGCCTGAGGCCCCCAGCGCGCTTCACGAGGAGCACGCCACTGGACCACACGTCTGGCCAAGTGCACGCGCGCTCCATGAATAGAACGGCATGCAGGAAGCAGTATAGCCTTCTTTCTGCTAGCTCGAGAAACTGCCCCGGCGCGATCCGATCTAAACCCATGCCGCCCGCGGCTGTGAAAACCTCGAGGCAGCCTCGCAGCTCGGCAGCGGCAGTGGAGAAATAAAAGAATCGGGGCCCCATGTCAGAGGGCCAAGCAACACACGACCCTCCAATTCCCCTACCATCCAGCACCGACTCCACACCCCCCCACCCCACCCACAAACAATTGCATGAGATGCTGGGACGGCGCGCGCTGCCATCTTCTGTGAAACCAGGACTAGGATGCCATGGCACAGGGGGTTTCACCGCCGCTAGGGTAGGCACCCCGCCGCTGTGGGCGATCGCCCAGTGCCCAAGCATTTTCGGCGCGGCCGCGCCTGCGAAGCGCCCGCCCGCATGCCGAGGCTGGCCAAGAAGTGGGCCCTCAAGCAGGCGATGAAGACGGCGAAGAAGCCCGCGAAGACGCGCGGCGCGAAGTCGGCGGCGAAGAAGCCCGCGACGGCGTGCAGCAAGAGGACAGTGATGAGACGACCCGCGAGGGCGAGTGGCAAGGGCGCCGAAAGCCGCGCGGCCAAAGCGTTGCGGGTGAACGGGAAGTTCCACAAGGATGGCCTCACCTACAGCGGCAAGTCGGCACCAACCCCTGCGCAGACGACCACGCTGCGTCGCTTGGACCAGCAGCCCTACGAGGAGATCAGTGCCCTGAGCCAGAACGGCGCCAAGAAGGTGTTGCTGGAGGCTGGCGTTCTGCCACGTCGCGGCGAGGCGGCGTCGTTTGCATGCTGGCAGTGCGGCGGCGAGATGAGCAAGAACTACAACGGTTTCAGGTGCGCGGCGGCGAACTGCAGCCGCCCGCGCCTCGCCCACCCAGACGTGGCCTACACGCCGCTCGCCCGCTTCGACGCAGGAGGCTACGATCGTGACTACAAGATGTGCTTGCGCACTGCCTATACATTGGGATGCAAGTTGCCCAACGATGCCGCAACCCAGATCGCGCGGCAGAAAAGTGATAATATCAGGACCGCAGAGCGCAAAGTGTCGGAGTTCTACACGATGCACAAGGTGGCGCTGGCGCACCCGAAGGTGGAGCACACCCGCGACACAGTGTGCGAGGACGAGGTAGTCGAGGTTGATAGCTCCCGCATGGCACGCAAGAAACTGACGGGCGGCATGAAGAGCCACCAGGGCCGTCTGCTGGCAGCGAAGGGGCGGTTCTCAAAGAAATGGGCGGCCTCAATGTTCCCGACGAGGAACTCCAAGGCGAAGCGTGGGTCTGGCGGCCCAGGGTCGCTGGCGGAGGTGCGCGGCCCCCTGGCCCACGCCATGGGCAAGGGCACGGCGCTGGCGCCCGACGGCGCCCAAGCTTTCCACTCCGCCGCCGCGGAGATCGGCGCGCCCAGCCTGCCTGGCGTGAACCACCAGGACAAGGTCTTCACACCCGTGACGAGGCTGCTGAAGAGCAAGCTCCCGAAGCGCACAGCCGCCGCGCTGCGCCGTCACTCCCGCGGCAAGGCGACTGCCGTCCAGGAGACGAAATTGCACTTCAAGCTCGTGGCGGGGGATAACTCAGTGGAGCCGGCGCAGGGGCACATCAAGAACACGATGCGCCGCGTGGGCAACGTGGGTAGGCACAACGCCAGCGAGACCAAGAAGGCGGTTCAGACTCTGTCAGGAGCAGCCTTACTGAGGCGCGCGGGCGTGGCCAGCGTGTTGGACGCTTTGCGCCGTTATCGTGTCGCGCTGGCCACTGGCGTTGTGCAGTTGTCCCTGCGCGGGTGCTTCCGCGCGGAGTCATGCGTTTGGGCCGTGGCCGCCGAGAAGGGGGAGGCGAGCTGAATTCTCTCTTGGGGTGGACGTGTAGGGGGCGCAAGCATGCCCGCAACAGTCTCTCCGCGGCGTGCCGCCGCCATGGCTCGCAGACAGCAGGCTCGTGCGCAGAGATGGGGGCGCGCGCGACGAAACACGCAGTCGTTTTCATCGTCGTCGTCAATTCGACCATCATCGGGAGCCGCCCTTCCCCCTCCTGATGTGCACACAGCAGATATTGCAGGACCCAGATAACGCTGTAGTCAGACGCATGCGCGCGCAAACGTGCACGCACAGAGAGCAGCAGAAGGAATGCGATGATGAAATAAGAAGAGGAGTAATGATGATGTTGTAACCATATGATGACTGCGAACCCGAACAAGGAATAGATTGGGCAAACCATCGGGGCTGGTCGTAATCATAGTATTATCAAGATTAGTACGATTAGCAATAGTATCAGTATGATTATTAGTAGTCTCAATATTAGTATTATTATTACTATTAGTAGTATTATTCGTAATAATATCCATAATAGCGTTATCCCTACCAACCACGGACGTCCCCGGGCCGTGCGTGGCAGAAACTCCCTTTCTGGGGTTAATAGTAATACACACCCCCTCCCTACCAACCACGGACGTCCCCGGGCCGTGCGTGGCAGTAATTCCCGTTCTGGGGGTTAGTAGTAAGATGCACCCCCTCCCTCCCGACCAACCACGGACGTCCCCAGGCCGTGCGTGGCAATAACTCCATCTCTGGTGGGCTATAGTAATACAGCCCCCCTCCCTACCAACCACGGACGTCCCCAGGCCGTGCGTGGCAACAACTCCGCTTCTGGGGGTTAGTAGTAATGCACACTTCCTCCCTCCTTCCTTACCAACCATGGACGTCCCTGGGCCGTACCACCCACCCCCGCCCCTACTCGCACCCATCGCGCCCGACCACTGATGGCAAGTGCACGTAAGTCCGCGACCTGATGTTACCTCCAAAGAACTGTCATACCATACCAGGCCCACACATTTCATGATACATTTGTCGATCACACCATACCAAGCCACACATAGCCAGTCCAGGTGGGGCAAGCCACGACTAGGCCACATCCAGAAGGGGCGCGATGCTGATCAAGGAGAGGCTGATGAGGACGCGCGAGGCTTTCGGTATAGAGCAGGGCGAGCAGGAAGTCCCAGAGATTCGGGTAACTTGCGCAGATCTGCGGCCACAAGACGAGCGATCGGAGGTCGGGGGGTTGGAGCGGAAGTGACCCCAACTGGGAAATCGGTTGCGGTTTCGATTCGTGTCGTGCGTGTGGGCGAGACGAAGCTGCGCGAGTTCCATCCTTAGCTAGTAGAGAACATATATTGCCAAAAGGGCCGCCCCCCCCCCAATTGCGCCGGGCGCGTCTCCCGGTTGTCCTGGCGGTTGTCCCGGCGGTTGTCCCGATGGTTGTGGTTGTCCCGATGGTTGTCCCGATAGTTGTCCCGATGGAATATAGATGGATACATATATTGTTGTTCTGAATAGATAATTAAATGGATAGGTCGATAGATGGGCAGATGTGCGCGACAATATGAAAGTTGAAGAAACCACCAAAAAAAACAGAACCACCGCAAATCGACCGCCTCCCCCTTCTCCCCCAACCTCCTTATCACCCGTAGGGTGGTCTCATCGGTAAAAGTAACAAATAACAATTCAAAGCTCCTGGCAATGGGCATTCAAATCGTTTGCGGCAGCCTGACCCGTTCCTTTTTCAGATTCGAGCGCACAAAAACGAGGGCTCGAGCCGGCCTTGGCCGGCTCACACGAGCGGGTCGAAACGCTCGCGGCCCCAAAGAGAAGATGGGGAGGGGGGAGGGAGGATGCGAGCAAAAGCTGGCCCCGCAGTCCCCGCAGGGATGGCCTACCCAACCGACGTAACCGCCGATAGACAGTGGCCGCGGCTGGGACCAGCGCCCAAAATTATTCCGCTGGCCCGGGGCGCCAACTGGCTGCGAGAACGCGAGCTGGCGACAAGAAGTGCCCAAACTACTACTTGTGCGCGGTCCAGAGAGAGGCTCTGGCGAAGGACACGAAGATTTGGCCTGACTCCGAAGAAGGCCACAAAGCGCCGGACGTCCGTGGAAACCAGTTGCCTCCCTAGACAGCGCCACTGTTAACCCAATAGGGCCCCGTGAGGGTACAAGCTAACTCAAGGCCGCCCCGGAGACCCTTTCCTCCTCCTCCTCCTCCTCCTCCTCCTCCTCCTCCTTTTCCTCCTCCTCCTCTTCGTCATCTTCTCCCTCCGTCTCCTCTCCTACTCATCCTCATTGTGCCTGGTGAGAAAGCAGGCTGGGAATACGAGATGCCCAAAGCACGCGCAGAGGTCGTAAGCAGAGGGCCTGGGGAAGGACACAAGCCCTCTCAAATAAAATTGGCGACTGCAACTGAAGCCGCAACGTGACCCTGGTCGGTGTGCATTCCGGCTAGAAGGGACAAACGTTGCCCGCACGCTTCGGGAGGCGCGCTCACATCCTCATGGTCGTCTTCGCCCAGTAGGCCCCCGACAGCAAAACCCGCTCGCCTTAAATGCTTCACGTAAAAATTCAGGTACAGGAAGCCGTTGTCCGTACGTCCGTGAACAACTTTCAACTCGACTTTCCCAAAGGCAACCCATTCCGGACTCCTGACCACACGTTGCGATGCGACGTGATGGTACCCTCCAGTTTGCTTGGCCTCTGCCCAAGACCCCGTCACGTTCAGCTCCTGGAAGTACATGTCTGCACAATGTCCACCCAAACGGTGCGCATCGGCCTGCACACGAAGCATTGCGTTTTCAGCACTCATTCCACGAGGGATGTTTATCAGAACATGCTTGCCCGCCTTCATCAGGTCGAACCGCTCGCCGTGAACGTTTTGCAGGTGGGGATCGCCAACGGCAGAAGCTCCGCCTCCCCCGCCCGCGGCAGGTGGCGATGCCAGGCTCGGCGCTGTCGTCGGCGCGAGCGTAGGCGCTGGCGTTGGCGCCGGCGTAGGCGCTGGCGCAGGCGCCAGAGTCGGCGCAGGCGTCGGCGCGGGACTCGGCGCCGGCGTTGGCGCCAGGGTTGGCGCCGGGGTCGGTGCTGGAGTCGGCGCGGGCGTCGGCGCCAGCGTTGGCGCCAGCGTAGGCGCTGGGGTTGGCGCCAGTCGGAGCAGGCGTCGGCGTGGGTGTTGGCGCTGGCGTAGGCGCCAAGGTTGGCCCCGGGGTCGGTGCCAGGGTCGGCATGGGCGTCGGCGGCTGCGTCTGTGCCAGCGTGGGCGCTGGGGTTGGCGCCAGGGTCGGTGCAGGCGTCGGCACTGGCGTTGGTGCTGTCGCACTCGCTGGCGCTGGCGCAGGCACCGTTGCTGCACCGCCCCCGCACGCACAGCACATGTCCACGGCGGTGAAGTCGGTGTCGTCATAATGGTGAGAATGCTGCACGCAGGCGGTAAGAAATGTGTCAGGGTCCTGAAGCGCCACCGCCGTGTAGTTATCGCAGCTAATGGTAAGGTTGCAAGGATCAGCGCCTGGCGGATCTACGAGGATACTTTTTCCAGCCGCTCCCTCCGAAGTGTCGAAGCAAGGAGGAGTCGGTGCCCGCGTGGGCGTCAGCACCATTATGGCATTCGCAGCCCACTCTTCATCCACGCCAGTACAAGGGAAAGCCACGACCCTTTTAATGTCATGATTGCCAGCATACAAAGAGAAACAATCGTAATCCTACAAGCCTTCTCGGCGTAGATAGTTTACCGAGCTCTTGTTCTCCATCTTCCAAACTCTCTCCTTCCCCTGCTCGGGGGAGGAGGGGGGGGGGGGCTTACCCTTCCCTTTGCCCCCCCCTGGGCCTGGGAGAGGGGGGGGGGCCAGATACGTAGGTAGAGCGCCCAAGATGGCTCTACGCGAGCCTCAGAGAGCCCAAGATGACCTTCAAGATGGCCCAAGATAGCCGAAAATATCCCAAGATAGCCTCCGACATAGCTGCAAGAGGCCCCAAGGCAGCCCCAAGATGATTCCACGTGCGCTTCGAGCCGCCTAAGACACCCACCAAGAAGCCAAAATCTGCGAAATACGCATGGAAAAAAATATGTCTCGCTTTCTCGCCCAAAATACGCCCAAGAGCGGCCCAAGAGGGCTCCAAGAGGCAAGTTTTGAGCTTCCGGCAGGGGCGACCTAAAAAGGTGAGGCCCCCTCTTTCTGAGCCATGGGGGCCCGGGCGACCCCAAGAGGTCTCCCGGACGCCCCCAAGGAGTCCCAAGAGGGCACCACGAAGATCCTAATAGTGCTCAAGAGGCTTCTAAAATGGCTCCGACATTGCTCTTCCAAGAGGCTCGCGGACCGTTAGCTCCGTGAAGGCTGCATGACTGACACATCGTTCGTTATCGTCGTCGCCTTCGTCTCCGTCTACAACCACATCATTCTAATTACATGTCCTTGATCAACGAGGCAACTCGCCTGGCGATCTGTTTTCTGGACGGGCTGGTGGGGATACGCGAAGCGTCAGGAATTGTTCTGAATGCTTCGATCCACCGTATAGACGAATTTCTGAGCTGTTGAGCCATCACAGCTCCTCAGCCTTGGGAGCACGTTATCATTCTCCACACACCTGCCGTCGTAGTATTGAAGCTCTCCGTTTGCAAAGCGCCAACTCTGATCGTCAAGCCCATTGCACGTGTACACGTAGAGCTCATCCGAGTCATCCCAGACATCGACTCCCAGGCACTTGCCATCCCGCTGATAAATTACTGGTGCGAAACCCGAACTGGCACTGGCCAGTGCCGCTGCCTGCTGGTAGGCGCTGCTCTCGTCCACCGCTGTTGCGAATTGCATCGTGCTGGAATCGGTGGTGGCTGCACCCAGGCCGGCGACGCCGCGCGCCCCGACGAGACTGGCGACCAACCAGAGACGGGCCATCTGTGAGACAGGTGAGCCGACATGAAGTCGTTAGATGTTAGATGTTCACGGAATGTGCGTGTGCGTTTTGGGCTGCGAAGGCCAAACAGGAGCCAAGCGGTCTTGAGTCAGAGTGGCTACGGGTACTATTGTGACGTCATGGAGGAGGTATCCTAGGCCGTCCTGGGGGGTTATCGGGCGCTCGCGGGGCTTAAAGTGGCCGTCCGGGGCCGAACTTGGCCGCGCTTTGGGGGGGTTAGACCTGCTTCGCACGGGGACGGAAAGCACATTTACTTCGTGACGGCGCCAAATCGCTTTCTGAGCGCCCTGGTGCCCTCTTGGTGAAATTTTCCTACGTCCCACAACATGACCAGCTAAATCAGAGCCCTCCGCCTCCCCTTGGGGATCATATTGTGAGTAAACAGCGTGTTCAACTAAATTAAAGCAGGTGTGCTGATTATTTTCTGGGGACTGGTTCACCGGCACCCTGGTCGACGGAAGCCGACCGTTCGCTAGACGGTGCATTTGTTCCAACATAGTTGGATGTTCTTTTCGGAGATAGAATAAGCCTACCCATCCTTTTCCTCCCTCCCCTGCCATTCCAGGCCAATGTGACGCCAAGGTGTAACCTAGTACCGAGTTGGATCCCGGCAGTATAATCTCTGGAGTCACACGCAGTCTGGTGCGCGCTGGGGAATTTCTTTTGTTTTTTTTAAATGGTTCCCAACAAGAAAAATATCAAAATGCGGGGGAACTGGGCGGAGAGCGGCAGATACACGCTATACTGGCTCAGGCCCCAGCGGGGTGCGCACCGTGCGCTGGGGCTCCAAGATGACACTTCGAGTCGGCTCAAGATGGCCCCAGACAGGCCAGGATGGCCCCAATGGCCGCCCCCGACGGCCCGATGACACCAGATACGCATGCCAAACAGCCCAGGACGAATTGACACCCGAATCGGCCAGGATCTCCCCCAGAGCGCCCAAGGCTGCCAAAGATGATCTGAATTCAAGCCCAGGACGGGCCAAAGGAATGCCAAAGAAAGGACGACCAGCGACTGGAGAGGCGGGGAGGGGCAGGTGCCCGCTGAGGGTAGAAGTGGGCGGGGAGCAGCAGATGCACGTATACTGGCCCTGGCTCCAGCGGGGTGCGCACCGTGCGCTGGAGCCCCGAGACGTCACTTCAAGTCGGCTCAAGATGGCCCCAGACAGGCCAGGATGGCCCCAATGGCCGCCACCGACGGCCCGATGACGCCAGATATGCCAAACAGCCCAGGACGAGTAAACACCCGAATCAGCCAGGATCTCCCCCAGAGCGCCAAAGGATGCCAAAGATGACCTGCATTCAAGCCCAGGACGGGCCAAAGGAATGCCAAAGAAAGGACGACCAGCGACTGGAGAGGCGGGGAGGGGTAGGTGCCCGCTCTGGATAGAATGGGCGGGGAGTGGCAGATGCACGCTATACTGGCCCTGGCCCCAGCGGGGTGCACACCGTGCGCTGGGGCCCCAAGATGCTACTTCAATTGCGCTCCAAATGGCTCGAGACAGGCCAGGGTGCCCCAATGGCCGCCACCGACGGCCCAATGGCCGCCACCGATGGCCTGGCGGGCCAACTTTGCGCGACTGCTGGGCCTCGCGATCGGCCCTGGGGGGACATACGGCCTGCACCTCATCAAGAGGGCCGAGGGGCACCATCTGTAAACACAGCACGGCACTTGGGCAACCAGCAAGCACAGCCTGCCGCGTGAAGATTGGCTTCGAACTGGCCCCAACATGCTCCAACGCACGCGGCGAGCGATACGGGCTGACCAGCATCGTAAGTTGACGCCGCGGAAGCCCAAACTTTCGGGCCGCCCCCACCAAACCGCCAAGCCTGGCAGCCTCGAAAGAACTCTCGCGGCTGAGCAAACCGTTCCCGAGGAAACTTGTTTCTACTGGCTGCCCGTTCTGCGTGGGCCGCCCGCGCGCACGAGGCGCCAATACCCTCTTTTTGTTCACCGACGTCGACCACCAGACCTCCCGAGAGTTGGCCCCCTGCCAACGTCTGGGCAGTGGCCTGCGGAGCCCGCGCTGACACTCGGGCGGCGACGCGCAGCGGTGCAATGGGCCCGAGGGCCCCCATCGCGCTTCACGAGGAGCACGCTGCTGGGCCACACGTCTGGCCAAGTGCATGCGCGCTCCATGACTAGAGCGGTATGCATGAAACAGTATAGCCTTCCTTCTACTAGCTCGAGAAACTGCCCCAGCGCGATCCGATCTAACCTCGCAGCTCGGCAGCGGCAGTGGGGAAATAAGAGAATCGAGGAAACATGTCAGAGGGCCAAGCAACGACCATCAAATTCATCCAGCACCCACTAACAATTGCATCTCTGATGCTGGGACGGCGCGCGCTGCCACCTTCTGCGAAACTAGGACTAGGATGCCATGGCACAGGGGGCTCGCTGATAGCGCAGAGCCCCGCCAGCTGAATTGCTGCGGCTGCGCACCCAAGCGTTCCACTCACGGTCGCGCTTCTTCTCGGCCACGCGCTGATGCTGATCAGCAGCGGGCCTGGATTCTGCACCACGCAAAGACAGACAGCAAGGGCCCAAGTCCACGTCGGCCACTGCTTCGAAAACAAGCGCCAGGGCTCGACAAGGGCCCCGGGGAGGCCACCCGAGGAATTTGAGCAGCTTCCGACATACGCCGAGGGTGGCCGCACGACTGTGGGCCGACAGAAATTTCGACAGCTCACCTAGCAAACTGCTGAGCGCGGAACCCAACGGCTGCGCTGGATGTGCGCGGGCACAACGGCTCCGCAGGAGCGGCCTTCCGTCGCCGCTTCAGGCGCAGCGGCCTGCTCCTGCCAAAATACTGCTCGCGCTGGTCGTCTGAATTCCGGTAGGACCTCTTGCAGCTCCAGCTTCCGCGCTGGTGGGAGCCTGCACTGGCCCCCACCTCAGACTGGGACGATGACGCCCAGCTGGTCGACCACGCGGGAACTGACAAGGAACGCGACCATGCGGCACGCCGGGCAGACGAGAGACACCTCGCAGCACGAGCTCGACTGGCTCGCGCGGCCTGGCCCCGACAGCACCAAACACACTGATTGCCGAGCTGCACTGCAGCCCGTGCGGAGCGACGAAGAAGTTCAGGGCCCGCAGGGCGCCCTGGGTGCATGTAGTGACCGACGGATCCACATTATCTGGGTTGAGACTCTCCGCCCATCCCGCGCCTTGCATCTGATCTGCGACGATGCACCAGTCGCCTGAGATGAAGAAAGGCAAAACGCACCGATGAACCACTCCCCCAAATTCGATCACATGTGCCAGCTGACTGGGGACAAGCCTTGGGTATCGTGGAGATAAGTATCCACCCACAGAACACAACCAGGACAGACTGCTGCAAAGTGAAGAACACTCATGCGCGCCTGAGGCATCTCAAACTCCTGCCCTGGGAGCTCTGCTAGCCCAAGACCTTTTGTGTACCATCTGAAGAACACCGCCTGCGGCGCCTTCACCTGCAAGGTTAGCTGGGAGACGTTTCGCAGCTCAGCACTTGCGCCCCAACTTGTTTTCCCACGCGAGCCCATGTTTGAAATAATGTTCCTGGAATTATACTTCCAGATAACCAAGGGTCTCCCGCGAGCCTAGCACGCAATCAAGTCCTCCGAGACATTGGCGGCAGTGAAACTCCAGCTGCTGCGCTTGCTAAACTCGAGACTTGGGGGCTGCGACACGCGCACGCTTGGAACGATGTCCCCGCATAGACCTGGCAAGCTGCTCGAAAACATCCCTGGGGATTTGGGGGCTGGAACTGAAGCCATCGCCATTCCAAGCGTCGCCATGCCCGTCATCGACGCCCATTACCGTGACAGACACGAGATCCCTGTAGACCAGGATCCGTAAAGGTACTCCACCTTGGGATGGCGGGCTGATGCGGCTGGTCAGCAGGAGCGGAAACCACAGCAACGCCAGCACCTCCACTGCCGCTGCCTGCTTCAGCCCGCGCGCCCTCACTGGGCGATCCAGGGAATCCAACCACTGGGCCTGCGGGGGGCGATGGGGCTGAGAGGCAAGCTTCTGGGTGATGGTTGCGACGAGCGGCTGTAATTGGCGAGTTGCCTCTGGCACTCTCTGCTTGGGCACCTGATGTAGCTGTTCCAACTGATTGATAATATCAGAAGAACATGCTCGACCTACCATCGTGAAGTAGGCCTCGGCTGCCTTGGCGACTAGAGCGTCGGCCTCCTTATTGAGCTTCCCAAAAGAGTCCTTGTATGGCGCCATGTGCGCCATCGCCGTGGCCGCCTGACACTCAGATCTGTCATACTTGAGATGGGCCTGAGCGACCCCCTGACGCAATGAATCAATCGGTCGACTGTCGAGCTGCCTTGGCTGAAGGCTCGGGGTCCCCCAGATCCAGGGCTCTCTCGGCGAAGACACGACCAACCTGCCTGCTACCATCCTGGTGCGAGCGTATCGAAGCCGGATTAGGGCATGCGAGCGTAGACCGAGACAAGATCGCCCGTGAGCTGGATGGCTGACTGCTGGGACTGACCACCCTGCTGCTGCTGCCCGCCTGCCGCCGCCCCAGAAGGTCCACGAGCCCACTTGCCACGAGGTTTGGGCTGCGACCCACCTTGGGGAACGCCAGCGGGCACGAAACCACGACTCGACACGATGTGTGACAACCGAAATTCCCTGCGTACTCGCAGCGTTTGCTGGGGCACGCCCACACTGAGAAGCCATCCATCGCAGAGGGCAGGCAGTACAGCAGCGAAAAATGCGGTGTGCGCACAAGGTGAACACATGAAAGCAGTCGGGCCCGCGAACTCCACACGCCACAGTGTTAAGTCCTCGAGCAATGCCCCAGGACTTGGGCCAAAATGGCTACGGGCTTCCCTTCCCCCTCCTCCTCCTCCTCCTCCTCCTCCTCCTCCTCCTCCTCCTCCTCCTCCTCCTCCTCCTCCTCCTCTCCTCCTCCTCCTCCTCCTCCTCCTCCTCCTCCCCCTCCTCCTCCTCCTCCTCCTCCTCCTCCTCCTCC